TTTTATACAATCACATGAATTATTATCACAACAGTATCAAGAAATATCATGATGAAATTTTGGCTCTATTTGTTCAACCCTGTTTGCACATGCTGGTGCAACTGGAGCTAAAAGTTGATCTAGACTCTGTCTGCCTGAGTAAAGCTTTAAGGAATCACAAATAACTTAGTGAGAAATAATTATTCATTAGTGCACACTGCCCAGGAGTTTCCACCTCACACCGGATTGTCAACAGAAAATTACCAATTAAAAATGTTTTCTGTATTAATTCTCTTAAAGATAGGGTGTGTAGATCACACATCGGGAAACCATCTACCAGAGATTTTCCCTTTTTTATTACAGGTTAGATCCATTACAGAAAATGCCCTGATAAAGCCAGTTTGTCACCATTTTCTCTGTAAATGTGTCAGAAAAGTGTTGTCAGATGTAAAGAAGTGAGTCACTTCAAGGAGGTTATTTTGGGTTTGGTTGAGCCTTCAAACAGTCTGCTAGGATGATGAAAGACTGGCAGCTGGCTTTGTTCCAACCTCCGTCAATCACTGTCTACAAAACTCTGCTGTTGCTTAAAATTCAAAGACTTATAAAAGTATATATATATCCCTTTGAGAAGTCACTTTATTGGTATTTTAGACGTTTTGTCTTAAGTGAGCAAATTTATTGAATTTGCAAAAAAAGAGGATAGGGTCCAAGATTCAAAAAAAGTTTTTTTTATTTATTTAAACTAATAAAATTCCATAAATTATTTGCCTTTAGCTTCCTTTATAAATTATGTTTCATCTAGTAATCAGTTTTTATAGTCATAGTGAAGCAGCCGTTCCAACCGTTTCTCTCGAATTCTCCCGATCAGTTCACGACTTTACACAATCGAATAAAGTGAATTTGATTGGTTGTTGATCAAGAGGGCGGGATTGATGTGGCGGATGTTTGATTTTAGTCAGTTTGTCTGAAGCATCTTGCTAACCAGTTAGCAACTTAGTGCTAGAAGGTTCCCAATGAGAAATTCCATTGGGACCAAGTAGCACTAAATTAAGACAATGTCCAGCAGAAACATGCAAGAGGAGGAAAGTTTTGTGTCGGAGGTCATGGATAAGTCTCCTCTGTCCTATGTTTTTTATTTAGAGGAGGAAAGTGGAGGAGAAGATGTGGAAGAGGACGCCAGGGCGGCAGAAGCTTGGTTTGGTGTAGAAGGCTTACAGCCGTACATGTTTGAGCCCTTGCCTCGCAACGCCACCAGTTCTGTTAGCTCTACGCCTGCTGAAGACACAGACGTCCATCCCCGTGAACACTGGGACGTAACTCAACGGGAAAGTAAATGATTCTTAGTTTTTATTTCAACCATTGTGTATATTAGCTGCGACATATGAATCAAGATGCTATGACCGAAATAATTTGATTGACAGATGATCGCTGATATATAATTGGCTGAATTTAGGTGTACAAGCTGACGTATAACTAACTGGCCTGCAGAAGATAATGGAAAAAAAACACATATTTTAAGACAGAATTTTTTTTCCTTTTTTTAAATTTTAAAATAATATCGTCTGATAAAGAGTACATTTACATACATGTTTAAGCCAGAATTATTTGGCATTTAAACATGACTTCCCTACCACTTAAACAATTAAGTGATTTCTGAAGTTCAATTAAAGGATTTCACTGACCTTTGGATTAAAATTCAGATAACCTTTTCTTTTTAGGTTTATTTCTTTACTCCACTTTAAACACCACCACCCCCACCCCCCAAAGGAAAAGAAAAAAAACAAATATAACTGAATGTTTATATTAGAACATATAAACATTAAGAGTGTTAAAAATAG